GGTCAAACATGGTTAAAAAAAAATGTGTTATTTTGAGCCGTTATTGTACATTTTTAGTTCCAGATTCCAATTGTACCCTTATCTTTCTTTTCAGATTCCGTTGATTGTCTCAAGTGTCCATGGGATCAGTGGCCAAATCCTCAGAAATCCATGTGTCTTCCTAAGACTATTGAGTATCTGTCTTATGAAGATCCCCTGGGAGTAACGTTAGCAGTGGCCGCCATTGTCTCCTCTCTGTTTCCTAATGTCATACTGAGACTTTTTGTCCTACAAAGGAACAGCCCCATAGTGAAAGCTAGCAATTACAGCCTGAGCTGTCTTCTCCTCCTCTCCTTGTCTTTGTGTTTCTTTTGTTCTTTGGCTTTCATTGGACCTCCCCAAAGAGGGACATGTCTCCTACGGCAGTCTGCATTTGGCATGATTTTTACTTTTTGTGTTTCTTGCATCTTGGCCAAAACCATCATGGTAGTCTTTGCCTTCATGGCCACCAAACCTGGTAGCACACTGAGGATATGGACCAGTCCTTGGGTTTCATTCTTGATAATATTCATCTGTTCCCTTTTACAATTCATTTTGTGCATCTCTTGGGTGTCACTTGCCCGTCCATTTCCAGAACTCAGCAGTAGATCACAGTCAAGGCTCATAAGTTTTCAGTGCAATGAAGGCTCGACCATAGCCTTCTGGGCCATGTTGGGGTATCTTAGTCTCTTAGCATTCATTAGTTTCATTGTGGCCTTTCTAGCTAGGAGACTTCCTGACAGCTTCAACGAGGCCCAGTATATAACTTTCAGCATGGTGGCCTTCCTCAGTGTCTGGATCTCTTTCATCCCGGCTTACCTTAGTGCTCAGGGCAAGTACACGGTGGCCATGGAAATTTTTGCCATACTGTCTTCTAGTTGGGCATTGCTGATTTGTATGTTTTTTCCTAAATGTTTCATCATATTGTTCAGACCAGATATGAATTCCAGAGAATATCTCATGAGGAAAGGTAAAACACCATCTAAGTGATAAATAAAAATTTAAAAAATAATTGATTTCTTTGTAATTCGTTATTTTTTTTAATGTGTTCAATTATTCCTCCATTTTTAGTTGTGCCAGTGGTGGACTGTGTAGAGTTCTGTCCGCTAGCTAAAGCTAGATTGTATTTCTCTGTCCTCAGGGCCGCATTTACCACAAGGCCACAGAGGCCTGGCCTCGGGGCAGCAAGGAGCAGAGGAGTGGCAGGGGTGTAGAATCTCCCAATTGCCCGAGACATGTAGTTACAGGCAAGGGCTTGCGGGCCCCATCTCCTTGAGCGCCGGGCCCCGCCTCCCCATTGCTAAGCCCCACCTGCTCGATAGCTGGGCCCCACCTCCTCCATCAATGCCGACAATGGGCGCAGCCACCTCATCCGAAGCTGCTGGTTGTCACCGACTCAGCAGCGGCTGTAAGGAGGAACGCACCACTGCACATGTGAATAGCGGCGCGTTCCTCCTCACAGCCGCCAGTGACAGCCAGCAGCCTGAGATGCCATAGAACTCCTGTATTGGAAGTGACACGTTTAATAAAGAGAACCTGTCACCTCCAAATGCTTTCACACAAGTGGCTTTTTAGTTCCTGTGTGCCTCCAGCCTTCCTTTAAATCGCAGCAGCTGTTAACAGCGTAGGTTGCAAATCTCCTCCTTCCTGTGGATCCATGCCATTGGCAGCAACCAAGACCAACCGGGACCCCTGGTGAGACCGCACAGCCCACCATAGACCCCGCACAGCCAACTGAGAGTCTGCACAGCCCACCATAGACCCTGCACAGCCCACCTGAGAGTTTGCACCGGCCAAAATAGACCCCGTGCAGCCACCTGAGAGTCTGCACAGCCCAGAATAGACCACGCGCAGCCACCTGAGAGTCCACACAGCCCACCATAGATCGTGCACAGCCCACCTGAGAGTTTGCATTTATATAACTTTACAAATACAACCAGCCCTTTGAGGGCAACCATAATGCTGATGCGCCCTGCAGGGAAATTAAGTTTGACACCCCTGGCTTTTGCTATCCCTTTTAGGCCTCATTCACACGACAATCGGCCGGCACTTACAGCTCCATGCTGCGTGCAGGGCCATATCGGGCAGCTCCCGGGAAGGACAGGTGCTGTGTGTGATTGGTATGCAGCCCCTGTCCTTCTCTATGGGACTACGTGGGCTACGCCCCCCTACGCTCACCTCAAGTGCAGGTCCGTACAGGTGCATGTTTCCTGGCTCGGACGCAGACAGGATCCATCCTGTCAGCGTACGAGTACGCTCACCCGCACTGACATGCAGCGCGGGTCAGCGTAGGGCAGCGTACGGCCGTGTAGTCCCATAGAGAAGGACAGGGGCTGTGTACTAATCACAAGCAGCACCTGTCCTTCCTGGGAGCTGCCCGATACGGCCGTGCACGCAGTACGGAGCTGTACGTGCCGGACAATTGTCGTGTGAATGAGGCCTTAGGATGTAAGTGGCCGGGCATATTGGCTACCAAGAATGGATACATTGAGTTAATAATAGTGAAATGTACACAGGTGTTACATGTTTGTTTATGTACCACTGGGACTTTCAGCATTCCGGTAAGAGATCATCCCTCAGGACAACTGTCCCCACCTCTGGACCCACCAGCACACTTATCATGACATTAACCGAGCAGAGAGACTCTATCATACTGATCCATTGTGCAATCCTGCAGGACGTAGATGGTTTATAAGAGTCTGGTATAGCTCATCAGAACTTCGATAATTCTCTTTGTAAAGCAAGAGGGACTCAATAGCATGGTACTGTAAGTAAAAGGCCGACACTGCTTCTATGAGGAACTTGAATGAACACGTAGTCAGATGTAACATTTTCATGCCATGATCCCTACTTTACAATTAAAATTAACAACGTTCCAAGCCAAAGGAAGGAGACAACCAAAAAGTTTTTCCAGGTGAGAAGTGTTACATGCTTTGCTGGGCATTCATTGCTGCCCGTGTGTTTTTGGGGGTATTTCTACTTACTCTCCATCCTGGAGACAAGTGCAGGGAACTTCTTCTCAGGTATGATTAGCTAATACGATTTGCCATTTTAAAAAAACACAAAGATCAGTATTCATAACTGGATAACTAAAGAAATATGACTTGGATTGCTTTCATTGATTAAACTCAAATCACAGCCCCACTCCCTTATTTTAATTTGCTAAAGTTAAAGATTTGGTGTACTTTCTGCATCATTTACGTTTTTCAGCTTAGACTATGTTTTTATATATGTGTTGTTTAGCCTATGCTTATACAATATTGTAGTACCACTTTAAATCTTAGCCAGAGCATGGTCTTCAGATGCATTTTGTTGGCTCCTAATGAAGTCCACTAAAAGCACATTTTTTATTGAGGAAATCTCTCATATCAGGAAACAGGATGGATTTTATTGGTGCCTTCTCTCTTTTAGGGTTTGAGCAGTGCCGAGGTGTAGAGCCTAAGAGGAGCATCTGTAAATACCTACTGCTTCATAAAGACATTTTTAGAGTCACGGGCCTGACTTGTCCACAGCCCACACCTACCACACATATAGTCAGTACAGACAAGCTCTTCAGTCAGGCATCTTTTCAAGCCCGAGTGTCCATCTCTCTTTCACAGACGCCTTTCTAGCTAAAACCCAGCATGATGAATCTACACTTATGTCTCTGGGCTCTGTTCCTGTCCCATTTTATTAACGTCCTCTACTCTAAAGACCCCCAGTGTTATCTGGGTATGGCTGAGCTGGAGGGAATAATACAGCCTGGAGATGTGATGATTGGAATTGTGCTACCTCTTCATGTGGATAACCTATACCAGCGTAACAACTTCACCAAGAGACCAACCAGAACCACCTGCTCCAAGTAAGTGATATCTGGGGTTAGATCTCATCTCATGTATTGTGGCATATAAATTAATGGATTCTCTCCTATGAAGGCATTCCAATGCTGTGGCAGAAAAAAAAAAGGAATCAAGGGATGGAAGCAAGGGAAAGAGGAATGAAGGAAAGGAAGGTGAGGAAGGAAAGGAAGAAGAGGAGGGACAGGAAGAAAGGAAAGGAAGGAGAGGAAGGAAAGGAAGAAGAGGAAGAAAAGGAAGAAAGGAGGGGAAGGTAAGGAAGCAGAGAAGGTAGAGGAAGGAGAGAAAGGAGAGAAAGGAAGGAAGGGAGGGGGGAGAATTTTTGGAAGGCTTTCAAATCAGAAATGTAATGGATTTGGATAGCCGAATATGTATTCAAATTTTAATGTTATTTTTGGTGGTTGTGATTTTCAAAAGGCTTCTGTGGAAAAGGGCCAAAGGCTTCTCTGAAGGCTGCTTCTGCCTTACATCTGCTTCTGCTATTTCCTGAGCATCCTTAGCTTAACTGCCAAGACATCAGGCCCCACCCTTCTATCATTGTATCCCTTGTAGAATGTTTTATAGACTTCAATGGGACAGATTCGGAAATTAATTGAATTTCAGTGGTTTGCACATTTTTTTTAAAGTTTGGTCAGAACACAATGGACCCAACGGTTTAGAAGTTTTCTCATTTCTAGTAATTAAAATGTGTACGTGCTTGATTAATTGGCCACCTAAGGTCGGTTCATCAGAGGATCATTATTGTGACTATATGATCTGCAAAGACACATAAACATATACAGGGTTATTCACTGAAGGGTGAAGAGTTTGGAGAAGGGAGGAGAAGTGAACAGTCTAGGACAAAATAGCTGATTTGGAAAAATCCTCCAATTCAGCTCACTTTCCAGTTCAGCTATGTTGTCCTAGATTGTTCACTTCTCCTTCCGTCTCCAAACTCTTCACCCTTTTTGTGAATAACCCTGATAGTTTAATTCATGAAGCTCATTTATTATTTTATGTTATCTGTCATATTACTTTCAATAAAGGTTCAGCTTTGAGAACTTCCAGCAACTCCAAGCAATGGTGTTTGCAATTAATGAGATTACAAAGAGTGCTGCTATTCTCCCCAACATCACGCTGGGCTTCCAGGCCTATGACACCTGTATGGTGATACAGCAAAGTTTAGAAGGAATATTGCACACAGTGACAGGAAATGGAATGGCTGTCCCCAACTACCGATGTCTTCTAAACGTCCCTCTGAGTGCCATCATCGGTCACTCTGCATCCACACACTCTATTCTCCTGGCTCATATTCTTGGGCTTCTCCGCTACCCTCAGGTGACTTATATTGAGATTTTATTTTGAAATATAAAGCTTTGTTAATACATTTAAGTGTGCCATAAATATCAATAAAAAATAGCAATAATAACTGTCCTTGAAAATATATTGAATCAGATGAGGTCTGTTAACGCAGCCGCGTGGCATTCCTTGTATTTGCAAATGTTTGCAACAAATCTTCTGTTTTTAATTTATAAAGTTAAAACAGTTTAGTTATTTTTTTAACTGGCAGGAAAGCGTGCAGGTGCACATTTGTATAGCTCTGTATATTCCTCTGCCCATATGGACCCTTCACCTTTTTGCCAGTTTTAAATTGATCTAAGCAATTGCCATTGTTGGTTTGTTGTATTTGGTGCAGACACACATTGGGAGGCCACCTTGAGCAAGTCTGGGCTTCTGGTGTGTAGATGTTCTTTTAAGGAGGATAAGGCTGCCTCCTGGTAACCTGCTCTCAATTGAAGCATGCCTACATATGTAGTTGGAAACGCATATGATTTTGAGTGGTGCCTTTACGTGGCAGTGTGGTTTTTACATGTATGTGCAAATGTATGCAACAAACCTGAGTAGCTGAAACACTTGGGATTCTTCGCAATTTTCAGCTTGCAAAACTATATAATAAACACATGACCGTTACGCCAACATTATGTGGCCAAAAGTATGTGGAGACCCCTCCAGATTATTGAGCTTGAGTGTTTCCAGCAAAGGGTACCACTAATGCTACAGCACAAAAAGATATTTTGGATAATTTTGCACTTCCAACCTTTCAGCTTCAGTTTGTGAAAGCTCTTTTCTATTTCAGCATGGCTATACCCCTGTGTACAGTGCATGTTATATAATGGCATGGTTTGAGAAGATTATTGCGTAGAAAACCAAGCAACATGCATAGAGCCATGACCTCAAACCTATGGAGCACCTAAAGTGCACCTAAAGGATTTATCACAGTCTATGTACAGGGCCAGATAAAGTGCATCATGGGCCTGGTGCTGTTGGTCGGTTGGATGGAGAGCAGCAGAGATGGCTCTCTAATTAGGCAGCTGCTTGCTCCTCGCTGGGGCCCCTGCAAGCATCCATCTAATATGCCTGATTAGAGAGCTGCTGGTGACTCTGCCTGATTGTGTTCAGCCAGGGCCTATTTTCAGTGGTGGGCCTGAAGCTGGAGTTCCAGAAACCCCTATGTTAATCCGGCCCTGTCCATAATAACTGGACTTAAGATGTGTTTACATCTTAAGTCCAGATTATTTTGTAATGCAAAAGCCTTGCACATTAATAAAAAAAGCTTCTTTTATCTCCCTTGAGTCAGCAAAATCCTCCTCCATTCTCCCAGTCTCATCTTCCCAGACACTACAGATGGCAGTGGGATGGTTTCAGCAGCACAGTCAGTTCTGACAATCCAGAAAACAGTGGACAGGACTAGCTGTGGTTAGCTGCTGATTGACCAGCTACAGGTGTGGGATTCAGAACATCTTCTCATCCCAAAGTAATACAACTAGGCATAGCTTACATGAGGGACAATGCCACTTTAAATTCAGCAGCAGTGAAGCAGGGTTGTCCCTTCATCACAGGGAGCCTAATAAAGTGGACCTAGCTAGCTGGATCACAGGCATTTGTAAGACTTTGCAGCGAAAACTGTAGGTGTGGATGTATTTACAATTTAGTCATGCAGCACCCATATTTTTTATTAGGAGGTCATAGTTCTACTTTGAAATAATCATATGATTTATTATGCATATAAAAAAAGTCTAGGCACTCTCGGAACCATGTGGTCATAGTCCAGATTGTTGTTTTAATAACAAACCATTTTTGAAGACCACTGATTTTTAGAGTTTTTGCCAAACAGATGGCAAATGCAAATTGTATTTATCTTCTCATAGAACATCAGAATTTGTGAAAGAAATTGAATGGGTCTTAGTTATTTTCATTAACAATTCTTTTGTCCAACAGATCAGCCATTTTTCTACAAGTCCTCTCCTCAGTGACAGAAGGAAGTTCCCCTCTTTCTTCAGAAACGTTCCTAGTGATGCTTTTCAATCCAGGGGCATTGCCCGGCTACTGTTACATTTTGGTTGGACGTGGGTGGGTCTCCTTGGTAACGACAATGATTATGGACAGCAAGGCATTCAGCTTGTCAAACAAGAAATTGCCAAGGCTGGAGCATGTGTGGCTTTTATTGAAAACTTGCTTTCGAGTCAACCTGACCGAAACGCCCCACACATTGTCAACGTCATTAAAGAGTCAACAGCAATGGTGGTGGTTGTCTTCTGCAAGGACATTGATTTTGCCATGATAGTGCTTGAATTGATAAGGCAGAATGTTACCCAAAGAATATTTGTGGCCAGTGAAGCTTGGTCAACATCCACTCTCTTTTCTGTGGGAACCTTTGCCCAGTTTGTTTCTGGCACAATTGGATTGGCTCTGAACAGTGGGGTCATCATGGGATTTAAGGAGTTCCTTAACAAAGTCCATCCCTCCTCACACGGGGGTGGAAAGTGGGTGAAGATCCTCTGGGAGAAAACTTTTAACTGTGCATTAAATGACCAAAGCAATGTCACAAGTATTCCAAGCACTTCAATTAAATTGTGTACAGGTGACGAAAGTCTTGAAAGAGTTCACAACAGCTTCAATGATGTCTCCAACTTACGAGTCACTTACAATGCTTACATGACCGTACAGATCATCGCCAAAGCTCTGGAAGATCTGAGAAGTTGCTCCAACAAATACAAATGTGCCAGTGTTTCCAATTTCTATCCATGGCAGGTAATAAAAATATGTTATGTTTTAGGTGCATAGATGTGTAATGTTTGTGTCATCACTGATAAAAGCATAAAGATTTAAGTTGATGGAATCTCATTTATGGGCTAAATCATTATACTGGAAATTCAAGGATTCCAGCATTCTATGTAATATTCAAATCAAATCAAATTCACACATGTTTATTTAAATATTGTCATCCTAATTATGGGAAACCTATTTTTATATTGGTCACTGGCTAGCAGGATTTGATGGACATCAGAGCAATGTGTTAGAGTCTCATTTTCACCTTCACCTAAGTGCATGATGGATGAGAAATGGAAATGAGTGCACCATAAAAAACACCCTCATTTTCTATTTCCTATAAGTTAAACACACCTTTAACCTATCTTTGCATCTGCACATTTTATGGATCCAAAGAGTAAAGTGAAGGGTAGTTGAAAGGCAATTGGAGGCTAACTCATTTAAAGCCCCATAACAGTTTATTTTCCTGAAATTTACGATTTGTGAATAAATTCCACATAAAATATATTGAACTCCCAGTTCATTCCAAACCCTGGAGTAGCAGATTTTGATCATTGGTTATATACATTTCCTTTTACTGGGAAGCAAGGCAGGGAGAACCAACACTGGGAACAACAATACAAGGGTTCCTGCAATCAAGGTTGGTTATATTGCACATAATTCATGAATTAGAGGTTGGAGAGTGAGGTGTGGAACTCCAGAACTCTCTGCACATTCACTACCCACACCCCCTCTCCCTGAAGCCAACTTCCCAAAAACACAAACACCACGTGCGTATCTTTTTTCCCCGCAGTCTGCTAGCTTTTCTGATGATGTCACAGGTCCTTCCTCTTCTTTCACATTGCCTAAAAAATGGCACCAGAGGGGGACCAGCAATGCTGGCTGCAGAAAGGAATTTGGGACAACACTGGAACGTAGCAAGGTTAATTAGAAATGGCCACATTATTTTCCTATTACAAAGGGGGGAATCATGATAATTATACCAAAAAAATACTGGAGCTCCACTTTAAGCCTAAAGTAGGTAGTGAGCAGACAAGGGGAACTAACTAATGTGTAGGTGGGTCCAGAGAGCTGCAGGTACATCAGATTTCTTATTTTGACATATTTTACGTTTAATAAATACAGTAGGTGAACATGTTGGATTCACTTCTGATCGGTATGATCAGGGACCTTCATCTTTAACTGTAAAGAGTTCCAATGCAGTCTATGCAAATCAGTTCACCAGGTTCATTGTTAATTCATTTGTTTCCATGTTGGACTTCCCAGCTCCTGAGCTATGTGAAGAAGATCAGGGTGAAACTGAGTAGTGGCAGAGAGCTTTTCTTTGATGAGAATGGAGACCCACCAGCAGTCTATGACATTGTGAACTGGCAGATGAACCCAGAGGGCACAATACATCACGTCAAGGTTGGCAGCTATGACACAGCAGCAGCTCCTGGTCAAGTCTTTAGTGTCAACACCAGCATCATCCAGTGGCCCACTGGAGACCAAAAGGTGTGTCTATAGAAACTGCATATTTCATATTTTCAGTTATGCATTTAATGAAATTTGCAGACCCCCGGAGCACATTATTTGGTTACATCCATGTAAGTACGCATGGTTTTTATACTGCTAACAACTCCGGGGTAATGCCGTGATCACAAGCTGTAATAACAGATCAACGCTACCAGAATCTAGCAGAGCTGTAACTGGCTTTCCCTCAACTGAAATAACACACATCTGTCTCTCTATACGTTCCTGACATGATGCAGTACACACCACTTGTGCAAAGAAAGACATGCGTTTTCTTAACATAGCATAATCACATTGCATAGGTTCATCCGTCAATGGACAATTAGCAGCAATATGTCCTAACCCATGGCAACGAAAGCATTTTATGGGTTCTGCACCCAGTCC